TATTTTAAGTTGTGTATAATATTTTTATTTCCTCTCTATTGTTGTAATCATCTCATATTATATATATATATGTATATTTCCAATATAATTCTCAATAATCTGAAGTTTGAAGGTGTTTTTATTTGTTTCTTCTTTGAGACGTTAAATTTATTATAATAAAAGCCAATGCTTATTTCGCAAATAATACTAATAAAGGTTTTAAATCTATATTATTATTTGCGAAGTGATTTTTCGCAACGGAGCTCTCACATTAAAAGTTAGAGCGGTTAATATCGTTTATACCTTAATAAATAATTAAAAATTTTAATATATAACTAAACATAAATAAAAAACGAATTTCAGTTATTATAAATTTATCTTTATCTAAAACTATTTTATATTGGATTATAAAGTCTTTATTAACCTTGAAAAATAATTATATTTGTTAATATATAATTAATTATAAATTAAAAATGAATTTCATTTATTTGATAATTATCCTTATTTAATATTTTTATATTATGTTATAAAGTCTTTATCAACCTTGAAAAATAATTATTTGTTAATATATAATTAATTCTAAATTAAAATGAATTTCATGAATTTGATAATTATCCTTATCTAACTTTTTTATATTGTGTTATAAATTCTTTATTAACCTTGAAAAATTATTATATACGAATTTCAATGATTTTAATTTTATCTTAATCTAAAACTATTTTATATTGAGTTATAAAGTCTTTATTAACCTTTCAAAATAATTATATTTGTTCATATATAATTAATTATAAATTAAAAACGAATTTCATTTATTTGATAATTATCCTTATTTTTTTATATTATGTTATAAAGTCTTTATCAACCTTGAAAAATAATTATATTTGTTAATATAGAATTAATTTTAAATTAAAACGAATTTCATGAATTTGATAATTATCCTTATTTAACTTTTTTATATTGTGTTATAAAGTCTTATTAACCTTGAAAAATTATTATATTTGCTAATATATAATTAATTATAAATTAAAAACGAATTTCATTTATTTGATAATTATCCTTTAATTTTTTTTATATTATGTTATAAAGTCTTTATCAACCTTGAAAATTATTTCTATACTATTATTTGCGAAGTGATTTTTTTGCAATAGAGCTCTCACGTTAAAAGTTAGAGCGGTTAATATCATTTATAACTTTAATGAATAATTAAAAATTTCAATATATAATTAAACATAAATAAAAAACGAATTTCAATGATTTTACATTTATCGTATCTAAAACTATTTTATATTGGGTTATAAAGTCTTTATTAAACTTGAAAAATAAATATATTTGTAAATATATAATTAATTATAAATTAAAAACGAATTTCATTTATTTGATGAATATCCTTATTTAATTCTTTTATATTATGTTATAAAGTCTTTATCAACCTTGAAAAATAATTATATTTGTTAATATATAATTAATTCTAAATTAAAAGGAATTTCATGAATTTGATAATTATCTTTATCTAACTTTTTTTATATGTATTATAAAGTTTTTATTAACCTTGAAAAATTATTATATTTGCTAATATATAATTAATTATAAATTAAAAACGAATTTCATGAATTTGATAATTATCCTTATCTAACTTTTTTTATATTGTGTTATAAAGTCTTTAATAACCTTGAAAATTTATTATATTTGTTAATATATAGTTAATTATGAAAAATTGATTTGCAAAGAATTTACGTATAGATCATTTATATTGTTTTATCCAAAACATTACTAAAGATAATTTTATTATACATTTTTTGTTATGTCTAAAAATGATATTAATTTATTACTAAATATTTTAAATTTATGCATATTTTCAAAATTAATTTATGTAATTAAAATTATTTATATGATGATGAAAAAAATTATATATATAAATAATTTGTTTAGTTTATTATTAAATATGTTGAGTGTATGAATAATAATTTATTATAATTTACTTAATTTGATTATACAGTTATTTATAGATATTAGTAAAATTATTAAACCAGCAAGAGCGGGAAAAACACCTAGTTTTTATGTAAGAACTTAGTATGTATTGTTTTTTTTTAGTTTCTATGACTTTTTTTGACATAAAACAGTAATTTTATTTGCTTAATATAGGTTTTATAATTCTCATCTGATCAACAGAATTAGAAGCAAGCTTAGACCAGTCGAAAACTAATATTTAAGTATATTTCGGTTAGGATCGGGCTTGGTTATGGCTTCTAGACATCAAAATTTAACCTATTCGGATATTATACCAATTTTGGACAAAGATCGATACTAATTATACAATCGGTTTAGGCTCGATTGCAATGATCCAGTTTTTTTTGCCCAATTCATATTTTTGTTGCTAAGATAATCTAAACAGGTAAAAAAATTATTGTATTACAGATTTATATAGAGAATATATGCGTAACTGGCTTTGACTGGAACTTTATAACATGGACCTAATACGTTGGACGACTCCATTGATGATGTAAGGCTCCATTGCAATGATCCAGTTTTTTTTGCCCAATTCATATTTTTGTTGCTAAGATAATCTAAACAGGTAAAAAAATTATTGTATTACAGATTTATATAGAGAATATATGCGTAACTGGCTTTGACTGGAACTTTATAACATGGACCTAATACGTTGGACGACTCCATTGATGATGATAAAGGGTATTGGAGAGAAGAGAGCAGCTCACGTAGTTGAGGTTTGCGAAGTTTATATATACATTATATGCTCTGTCTTCCACTGGGAAATCCACTACGCATATGTGATGTTGTCCATCGAGAGAGAGCTTTAGAAGGTGATCTCATTTATTATATAGACTACTTCTTGTTCAGCTTTCAAGCAAGCCTAATAATCGTTCATCAAGAATCAATATAAGGTCAAAATTAAGAAATTAAAAGATCTAGCAACACGAAATTCCCAACAGCGCACATGGAGCGCTTTAAAAAAGGCAACAAACTTGGAATATATAGGTTAATATTAGTTTATATTTATATAATTTCTTTTTAAAGAA